ACTGTATATATGCATTTTATTACTCATTTTATATTTTTAGTCTCTTCAAAGCCTCGTTGAAACCTTTGAGTTTCTGTTATTCAGAATGCACAATTTTATTGAATAGACTGTTTTACAGAATATATTTTATTGAATGTATTCAGGACACAACCACAGAATTACCTTCAATTACTGCTGATCCATTAGCCAGAGAAATGTATGTATACTGTAGAGAACAGATTTCAGAACAGTATCATGCACACTGCACATACAGTACTAGTCCTGCAGTGTCTACTACGGTAAGTATACAGTGTACAGTACATGGGTTTGCTGTACGCACAGATCACCTGGCACAATACATTTGACAAAATGAGCAGAATACTCAATCCCACAATGGAAGGAAGGTCTCTAACGCCTCTAGTTTTGTGTCTGTTAGCATTCCCATTCATCTCAGTGGAAGCTGTGTGTGCAGCAGTTATTTGCTTTCTGTTTCGTGCATCTGAGTCTCAGTGTTTGTGGGTAAATAATGCATGAGGTCTCAGTGAAAGGACACATTTGATTAAACGGCGCTGCGTTAACATAGTCATGCATAGTCACTGCGCTGTAAATAAAGAGTGCTGTGCATGTGAAGCGGATTGTATTTACTGTGTCTGACCTACTTTAGGACTGATATCTCACTAGTTCTGCCGCGTGAGGAACAGTTTGTTTATACGTGCAGCAATGCAGCATTGCCTCATGAGCATGCATTTCATGCTTTAGAAACGGAAATATACAAACACTGAGATTTAATTCAGTGTGATTTAATTTCATTTATTACGCAGCGAGAGGGTTCTCAAGGGTAATCCGGGAACGTTTCCCAGGTCTGGAGCGTTGAGCATGAATGAGAAAGAGAAGTTGCTTTTGGCACACGAGCGGCTTTTGGAGTATTTGTCCAAACAGAGTTTGTGCTTTGTAAATATCAGAGGTTATCTGAGCATCACAGTGTCCAGATGCATGAGACGGACCACTTGCTATGGGAACGCATTCGCCAAGAGATTCATTCTGCAGTCAGTGCTGGCTGCCATGTGCAGCAACATTCTCACACACACACACACACACACACACCCACTCAAACACACAAACACACACACACACACTCACACTTCTGATCTGTTGTAGAGCTGGAGCTCGAGCGCTCGTTCTTCCTGCGGATGAAGTGTGTTCTGGCGAAGCGGAACGCGGGACTCACGAGCGGCGGGTATAAGGTGAGCTCGTCTCTCTGCAGCTGTGTTTAGCTCTAATAAATCATGAAACACACGCACATGTTTTTATTGGGATCACAGCAGATGACGGCCGGTAAAATGATATGCTCATGGTTACTTTCCCACAGCCGTTATTTTCTGCGAGCGCATCTCAAAGCCGAGTTTTGCATTGCAAATGTCATCAAGTCAAAACATTTGTCAAGAGCTTGAGTTCACATGGAGAGCCACTTTAAAGCCAGATTCACTGCCATCGTACTGTCGAGATTGTGCTGCATGAACTGACCATCAAAGCTGATCTGATTAAATGTAGCAAAGACTCGTTTGAAATGCTCTCGGACGCGAACCACGCATTTGACTACATAATGAACCGAGGACACTCATGTTCCATGCTGCACGAGCCCCAGCCCTTCATCACTCACGCTTTGGGGATTTGTTTAAAATTTACATTGGCGGTAAACAAGTGATTTATGTTAAGTAGAGAATAAATCAGATTCTGGATTCAGAGGCTCAGGCGGGTCAACAGGACAGAAATATCTGAGAATTAATGTGTGTGTGTGTTTGTGTGTGTGTGTGTGTGTGCGTGTGTGTGTGTGTTTGTTTGTACTCATTTGTCGCTGAAGTGCTGTGGAGTGACCTTCTCTGTGTGCGATGTGCCCTGCTAATTTACACACACAAATGGATCAAAGTCCTGCACAGAATCCGCTTTTGTTTTCACATGCAAATCGTGTTTTTATACATGAACTCTTTCCAGCGGGAATCAGACTGTCTCTTTGAGATGGACGCAGATCAATTTCAGACAAACAGGAGCTTAGCTTCACACACACACACACACACACACTCAAACGTGTGAATGCACACCCTGTTCACAATAGGCATTTTTGTGAGTTGATGTAATCTTCTTAAATGACACAGATTCTTACTCATCTTAATCTCAGCTGTTTTTTACCCCACTTTTCAGCCATTTGACTGATTTCTCTGTAGGCCTCCTGACAATTATCTGGAAAAATGCAAAGCAAAATGACTGAATGATGATTTAGAATCTGCTGTGTGTGTTGTAGGTGGAACTGACCGGTAACAGCATCTTTGAGTACATTCATCCATCAGACCACGACGAGATGAGCGCCGTGCTGAGCACACACCAGCCGCTGCACCCACACTTCCTGCAGGGTACACACACACACACACACACACACACACACACACTCACCAGGATGCAGAGTTTGAATGACAGGAAGAGGAATTGACTGAACTGCAACTGAAAGAAATTTAGCAGTTACACGATAGTCATTTCATTAGTCCAGCACAGTCAAAACATAAATAATTACATCATTAATTTAGACTAATTATGCGTATTTATGTCCTGAAATGTAAATAGATTTTATCAGCTTTTCTCTGCTGTCAGAGCAATACACAACCATGAAAACAAGATGCCTTTTCTGTGTGAATTAGTGTGTGTGTGAGTGGAGCTCATTCCTCAGACGTGATCTCTGCCAGAGCCGCTCTCATCAGTCTCACACACACACACACACACACACACACACACACACTCTCGGCTCGAGCTGCTCTCCAGATGAGGAGAGGCGGATCTGAAGCTGTGGAGGAAAGCTCCAGTTTCCACACACTCAACCCATCTGATGTGTGCAGGTGATCCACTGCAGCGGTTACCTGAAGATCCGTCAGTTCGTGATGGACGTGTCTCTGTACGAGTCGTGCTATCAGATCGTGGGGCTGCTGGCGGTGGGTCAGTCTCTTCCTCCCAGCGGCTTCACCGAGATCAAACTCCACAGCAACATGTTCATGTTCCGTGCCAGTCTGGACCTCAAACTCATCTTCCTGGACAGCAGGTGAGATTCAGCTCAACCCGCATGAGAAGAGGACTCGGCCTGCACAGAATACCTGCATGACACTGAATGCACTACTTTATCCCACAATGCAATGTGCTCCGCTTGACCAGGGTTTCTGCAGGTTTTATGAAGGCAAATTTAAGGCTTTATAAGACCAAGTAAAGAAGAAGTAAAGAATAAACTGAACACAATTCGTCATTATGATCTCTTAATGTGACTGTCTTGTATTGGCAATAATTTAAAGTTTGAAAATACAGCTTACGATAGATCTCCATTTCTCTTTAATTAAAAAAAACCCTTAAGGCTTCAGATTAACCACTACAGAAATAACTTACTGCACTTCTGATCACACTGCAAACAAGTGCTGTGCTTCCTCAGTATTTCTGTCTTGCTTTCCACTGCAAAGATTCGTAAATCAAGAATCATTTACTGCAGATGCAAAATGACAAAATGATTTGTCCAAAATGACACAAGTCTTGTTTTCTGAGAAACTGATCAAAATGAAGTGAGTTTATGATTAAAACAAAAGCAAATATCTGTCAAGTTTCTTGAGAATTGTCCAAAGCAAAGTTTCGTAAGATCAACAGTGAATGAAAGCATTTTCTTCTTTGTGTGTCAGGGTGGCGGAGTTAACGGGTCACGAGCCGCAGGATTTGATTGAGAAGACTCTCTACCATCACGTCCACGGCTGTGACGTGTTCCACCTGCGATACGCACATCATTTACGTGAGTCACCGCATGCGCTTCATCAGATCAGTGCTTCTCAAGCATGTTCCTGGAGCTCCAGCAGCACAGCATGTTCTGCACAGTCTCAGGTCTGACCCAAGTCAGGTGTGTTTGATCAAGCAGACATTAGATGTGCAGTGTTTTGTTTGTACTCCAGGAACATGGTTGAGAACCACTGCTGATTCCTAGTGTGTTTGCACAGAAACACAGACATTAAATCAACTAGAGAACCTGGATTATTCCGTCTGTGTGTGTGTGTGTGTGTCTGTGCGTGTGTGTGTGTGTCTGTGCGTGTGTGCGTGTGTGTGCGCGCGCGTGGCCAAACACGGCGGCTGGGTTTGGGTGCAGAGCTGCGCCACCATTGTTCACAACAGCCGCTCGTCTCGGCCGCACTGCATCGTCAGCGTCAACTACGTCCTCACGTGAGTGACCTTACACCTCCCTCAGCACGTCTGTGTGTTTCAGGGTTTCTGCAGGTTTGATGAAGGTACATTTCAGACTTTAAGGGATAAATTGAAGGGAACACAATACGACAATATGCTCTCTAAAGCACAATGAGTTTTAATAGCAAAATCAAATAATGAAAATACAACTTCCAACCAATCTCCATTCATTTTTAATTAATTTTACAACAAGAACAAAAAAACTAGCTTAAGGCTTGAATATCTCTGCTCTCGTCTCAACCACTAGAATAAGAAGACTTGTTTTATGAAAAACGATCAAAATGAAATGAGTTTATGATTAAAACAAGAACAAATATCTGCCAATGGACTCAAAAAATCTACTTAATTCAAAGGGAAACAAGTTTTTATTCCTCACTGGCAGATATTTGTTCTTGTTTTAATCATAAACTCACTTCATTTTGATAAATGTTTTAGTAAACAAGACTTCATATCTTCATTTCTCATCTCCAGTACAAGATTCTTGATTTAAGGATGTTTAGATATTTGTACCGGAAAACTGAGGAAGAGATTCATTTTCTGCAGTTCATGCAACATTTAATGCCACGACTTTATGAATTTAAGACTTTCTGCTCTGATTTAAGACCTTTTAAGACTTTAATTTGTGGAAGGGTGAATTAAGGCTTTTTAAGACCCGCAGAAACCCTGTTCACACAGAAGCTGCACACACTAATGCCGTCTTGTATCTCTGTAGGGATGTGGAATATAAAGAGATGCAGTTCTCTCAGGACCAGAGCAGATCCAGACCGTCTCTCTTCTATAAGAACTCGAGTCTCGCAGCTCCTCAGGACTCACGCAAACAGCTGAAAGCCAAAGCAGCCAAAATCAAAAGCAAACCCAAAGCGGCTCCATATCCGCAGGTAAGAGCGTTTGCAGGCTCACCCGGGAACGTGTGTGGATTCTGACATGTTTGTAACGTCAGGTGCTTCTGGTTTCCAGACCTTGCTGCATGCTGATAAACCGGAGTGTCCCTCGTGGAAGTCGGGCCCCTGCAGCCTGTCGTCCTGTCAGGAGCAGAGCCCCATCTCACTGACGCATGGCCCCGAGCCGTCCTACACATACACACACACACAGGCCACCCCACACATTCTCTCCTCGCTGCCGTCACGCAGAGAAGCTCCCTGGAGCTGCGGTGGAGCAAATAAAGCTGCGGTACACCTGCAGACACCTGCACCCTGCAGCGCATACTCAGGTAACAACACACACTCACACACACACTCACACTCATGCACACGCACACTCACTCTCACACGCACACACTCACAACACACACTCATGCACACTCGCCCTCACACTCAACACACACACTCACACTCAACACACACTCACTCACTCTCACACTCACGCACACTCACAATCACACACACACACACGCGCACACTCACACTCAACACACACACACTCTCACGCACACTCACACGCTCACACACACTCTCACACTCACGCACACTCACAATCACACACACACGCGCACACTCACACACACTCACACTCAACACACACACACTCTCACGCACACTCACACGCTCACGCACACTCACTCTCACGCTCACACACACTCTCACACTCACGCACACTCACTCTCACACTCACACTCAACACACACACTCACTCTCACACTCAACACACACACACTCACACACACTCTCACACTCACACTCACCACACACACTCACTCTCATGCACACTCTCACAATCACGCACACTCACACTCAGCACACCACACACACTCACTCTCACGCACACTCTCACAATCACGCACACTCACACTCAACACACACACTCATGCACACTCACACTCAACACTCACACACAACACACACTCACTCACTCATGCACACTCACACTCACTCTCACACTCAACACACACACTCACTCTCACACTCACACTCAACACACACACTCACTCTCACACTCAACACACACACACTCACACACACTCTCACTCACCACACACACTCACTCTCATGCACACTCTCACAATCACGCACACTCACACACTCTCACTCACACACACTCACACACACACACACACACACACACTCAACACATACTCACTCTCACACTTACGCACACACACACTCAACACACACTCATGCACACTCAACACATACACTCACGCACACTCACACTCAACACACACACTCACATTCACGCACGCACACTCATGCACACTCACTCTCATGCTCACACTCAACACACACACTCACGCACACTCAACACACACACTCATGCACACTCACACTCAACACTCACACACAACACACACTCACTCACACACACACTCACACTCAACACTCACACTCAACACACACTCACTCTCACACTCACACTCACGCACACACACACTCACACTCAACACACACACTCACACTCAACACATACACTCACGCACACTCACCACACACACTCATGCACACTCACACTCAACACACACACTCACACTCACGCACACTCAACACACACACTCACGCACACTCTCACAATCACGCACACTCACACTGAACACACACACTCATGCACACTCACACTCTCACACTCACGCACTCTCACACTCACACACACTCATGCACACGCACACTCACTCTCACACTCAAGACACACACTCACGCACACTCACACTGAACACACACACTCATGCACACTCACACTCTCACACTCACGCACTCTCACACTCACACACACTCATGCACACGCACACTCACTCTCACACTCAACACACACACTCACACTCAACACACACCACACACACTCACTTTCACGCACACTCTCACAATCACGCACACTCACACTCAACACACACACTCACTCTCACACTCATGCACACTCACACTCTCACACTCATACTCACATTCAACACACACACACTCACTCACACACTCAACACACACACTCACGCGCACACACACACACTCTCACGCACACTCACTCACACTCACACTCACCACACACACTCACTCTCACGCACACTCTCACAATCACGCACACTCACACTCAGCACACCACACACACTCACTCTCACGCACACTCTCACAATCACGCACACTCACACTCAACACACACACTCATGCACACTCACACTCTCACACTCAACACACACGCTCACACTCACGCACACTCAACACACACACTCACTCACACTCTCACAATCACGCACACTCATACTCAACACACACACTCACGCACACTCAACACACACACTCATGCACACTCACACTCTCACACTCATACTCACATTCAACACACACTCACACTCTCACACTCAACACACACTCACACACACTCACACTCCTCACACTCAACACACACACTCACGCACACTCACACTCACACTCAACACACACACTCACGCACACTCACACTCACACTCAACACACACACTCATGCACACTCTTTCTCTTCCCTCATGTAGCTCAAACTGTAGAGTTAGGGCTGCGTTTGCAACGGCAGGGTCATGGGTTCGACTCCCAGGGAAACTGATAAAATGTGCACCAAGAACACAATGGATGAAAGCGTCTGCCAAATGCATAAACATAAACTTAGCTGATTGATTCCCTGCATTACTAACCGGTGGTGACTCTGTCTGTCAGGTGCGGTGCACGGCGGCTTCAGACCCGGCGGGGCGTTTAAAGAGGAACCCTGTCAGAACCGCAGCAGCAGAGGGCGAGAGGACGAGCGGGTCAGACAGCATCAGGAGCTCCAGGGCTTCGGCCAGCAGCCGGCGCTGGAGATGCAGAGACACAGGCTGTGTGTGACGAACACACCGTACGAGGACCGGAACCCCAGACTCTCGGAGCAGAACCACACGGAGGAGAAGAGGCTGCTGGGGGCACAGAGCCCTTACGTCTCTCTCAACCTCCACCACGTCTGGGCCAAACACGTCCCATCAGGACCCTATGCTCTCAGCCACTTAACGGACGCTTACCGGGGCGAGGAGGTGAACCCATACCTGTACCGGACCCAAAGCCCCACGGCCGACGCACACCGCGGCGCTCCTCATTACATCGGCACGTCTGTCATCATCAGCAACGAGAGGTGACCCGCTCAGAACCGCTCGCCTGTCCCGACCGCTTCTACTGCTTATGCAGAACTACAGACCTTGTGTTCACACACACAGCAGTGTCGCCTGAAGGAGAGTCAGGAAGATCTGTTTCTACACGATGAGCAGCCGGGATACTACAGCCAGGAGAGAACGCGTTTCGGGCATTCAGGGTCTCCACATGAACCTTATATTTGCTGCACATTATTGTTCACTAAACTCAGATATGCAAGACATAACCATCCACGTGTTTTTGTGCCAACATTTACAAAATTAAAATATTTAATCTAATTTAGCCATAGCAAAAAGAAAGCAAATGTTTCAGCAGAGGATTTCTGTAAAGATATAAGCACTTAAAGCTGCAGTATGCGATTTCTGAGAAACGCTGTTGAAAGTGGATCGGACAGAGCACCAAAACACACTCGTAGCCAATCAGCAGTAAGGGGCGTGTCCACGCATGCTGGGGGAGGTGCATAGTATGCTTGTGAATTTGGGGGCAGAGCTATCAGTTTAGGGGTGTTTGTTTTGGTGATTTCAAATATCAACAGCGTTTCTCAGAAATCACTGTGTGTGTTCGACGTGAAGCGGAGCTGTGCAGACCTGTGCAGACATCAAAATACCGTGAAAGCGATTACGGTACATACACAAGTGTCTGAAGCCATCGTCATAGTGACAACAGCCATTCACATTACTTTCCATGAACGCCATTGGCTAGTGTCTGCTCTAGAGTATTTGCATAGGCGATCTGATTGGCCGACGCCTGCCTTGGTGCTTAAAGTTGAACATTTTTCAACTTCTGCCACAAGCAACGCCAGTGACGCGACGCAACGGATCCACAATTCAGTTCGGCAACGCATAACATCACATCAGCCGCTTCAATCCGAACACACCCACTTGCTGCACCTTTTAATTGAAAAGTGTGTAAATTCTATGAGACCCAACTGAATTACACCCCGCACACCTGCCATTGGTCAGTCAGACAGATAGTCCCGCCCCAGACGCTGTGATTGGTTGAGTCAGAAGGTCAATGTTCTGATCAGCTTCACTCTTCAAACTTACAGTGAATCTGAACGCGACTTCTCACACTTCAGCTTTAAATGTTGCACCTTCTGAAAACTGTCTGCATGAGCGGGAATGACACTGATTGATCTGCAAAATGATTTCTATGAACAATTTTGGAAAACGACCATTTAAAGGGTGCTGGTCCAGTTTTCTGTTGTTTAACAACCAATCCTAACCAATCACTCTTGTGTCCAACATCCTGGTATTTAGCTGCTATAATGAGCATATTTATATTGGTCGACCATTGTGCAGCTCGATTATTTATGGTGCAAACCAAGAGTCTAACATATGCAGCAGGTGTTACTAAAACGACTGGAGGTAGTTTGCTTAGAATCTCAATAAACATGAGGTGACACATGTGAGCGTGTTGTGTGTCTCATTCTGACTGTTTTCCAGGCCGCCAGAGACTGTTATTAACGCTATTATTAGTGCAGGAACTTTCATCTGCGACTCCATCTGAGGAAAGCTCTGAGGCACATCTAATGCTGCTCCTGCAGAGGGTTCATACTCGCTCTGTTCGTTTGTTGATGATTTTGAAGAAGAGCCAGCGGGCTGGTATTATGCAGCCAGTATTATAGATGATAGATTTGGTTTGACCTTCAGGACCCTGCAGCTGAAATTGTTTAACAGGATATTGTGGATGTGGCGTTTATGGATCGGAGGTGAGCTATTTGCGTAATGATTTCTAAAGGTTGAGCGCGCGTTTACTCGGCGTCATCAGTTTAAAAACGCTTTTATGGATAACTGCGTCCAGCCGAGCACTGGACCTCCTGAAGAACCGTAGCAGTGATTTAATAAGACCGATCGCTGCGAATGTGATGAATGTGAGAAAGTGGGAGGCGATGAATGGGTTTGTAATGAGGTGAAAGATCTCAGAGCATTTAGCGACGCTCAGAGGAATATTTTCACTTCATCAAGACGAGCCTGAAACAGGAGGTGCAGATGACAGATGAGCTGCTGCTTATGGAGGACGCATGAACATGACACTCCCAGACACACACACAC